CTTTCATCACAAAATTGAGATTGTGTTTGCTTTTAGCAGAACGCTTTGCTGAAATTCCACTATATCACATTCCATGTATGAAGATTTTATTGCCGGATGGCTAGCAGGTGAGCATCGCTTTGTTCTATGTGAACATAATAATTTGATCTTGTAGATTTGTTCCTTTCTCGATTTGGCCAGCTGAGTGAAATTTTCAGAAAATGATTCCGGTTGTTGCAGGAGGTGCAGGCTTGCTGATTGGCCATCCGTTGGATACGGTTAAGGCTCGATTGCAAACCGTTAGCACCTATGGTGGAATGGTTGATTGCTTACGAAAAACAATACGTCATGAATCGGTGAGCAGATTTCATCAATTTTATCTGCCGAATGCGTATAGTCATTGCTCCCTCTGCCTAGAAACTGTTGGCCCTTACAAGTCTGGGATCGCTAAATCAAAATTTGAGATTAGAATTTCACAGAGATAGTTAATTCTCTACGTTGGTATTGTTAGACTGTTCGGAGAGAAGAATATCAACAAGAGAAGAATGTGACGTTTATTACATTGATGATAAACTGGGGACCACAAACTCATTATGAGTTGTAATTGCTGATTTTAATCTCTTTTCGTAGGCGCACAATGCGATTTTGAGTTTCATCAATTGTTTAGGTATAAGCGAAAATTTTTTTCGATTGATAATATGTTTGGCTGTTAAGTGTTTGCACGAGATATTGTTCCAATACTTTAAATCAAGGAAATGGCTCATGAATGCAGTGGAGTTCCAGGTTTCTGGTCTCTACAGAGGAATGCTGGTGCCGTTTGCAACAGTCGGGGTGTTGCACTCTTTGCTGTTCGCAGGTTATGGTGCCACATTGCGACTGCTCCATCCAGGCGATACACATATTGACAGCCGAAAAGACGTTCCTATGAGTGAGGTACTCCAGTAATTTAGTGCGTTGCTTTTGAAACGCATTTCCTGAACAACTTCTCCATTTCATTGGATGTTGAAAGGTTTAAGTTGTCCAAGAAATTTTGAAACAAACACTGATAAATAGTGCCCAATGATATCATCAAATGAATGACTCAGTATGAAGTAATGTTTTATGCGCATTTAATCGTGAGTATATTGTCTCGAATTATTCAATATCGTCAACCACTGGATATCTTAAGACTTCCGTAAAATTTTTTCTCAATTTGGATTCCCAAATATTAAAGCCATCAAAGCCGTCGATTTATTTTGAATGGGTGATACATTGAATGTTACTGCAGATTGCGCTCGCAACCGTTGTTGGTTCAATCATTCAACTCGTGCCGGCTGTTCCCATTGAAGTTGTGAAAACGAATTTGCAGGTATTCAATTTCCTCGTTTCTAATTTTTTTAAGGCTATCGCTCCCTCCTCTCCTTCTGATTATTTCTTAAGGAAATCTGCTCGCCCGCTCCGTCCAAAGTTTGAATACTCTCTGAGCGTTAATATATTTGTTGAACTGCATTCTGGTGTAGTTCTTATGTCATTCTAACCAGAGATTATATATCATTTGCAGATTCAAAAAGAAAGAATCGCACACTTTTGGGAATCGGCAGCAACATCGTCTAATTCCTCAACTTCTTTTCGTACAGTTTATAAAGGTCCTTTGGATTGTATGAAAACAATCTATCGACAAGGAGGCATTCGAGCACTTTACAAAGTTATTACTTTCCCATCTTGCAACTGAAATATCGATGCACACCCCAAAGATACTCAGATTGATAAGTGTTGCTTTTTGGAAATGATTTTAGTTTCGTGTACTATATTTTTACAGATCGGGAATCCTAAGGAATAATTTTCTCGTGTTTTTTTTTAAGAGGATGAAAGGTCCATCAAGGACGAGTATAACTAAAAGGAGGAGTATAACTATTCGCATTCGAACATATCACGTTGTTCCAAAATCTCTCACCACTGTTTACATTATTAAAAAATCTATAATTTGTAGTACCATTTACAGGGTGGGACAGTGATGTTTCATCGTGATGTGATAGGATACCTCTTCTATATACCAGTGTACGAATTTATTTATCGGCATCTGTCGAAATCCTCGAACAGCGACGATACTCTTGCACAGGTCATAATTATCATTTCTAGCTCATCTCACAACATCTGTAAAGTGAGCTACAGCTGCATAAATAATCTGGCGTTGCTGAGTTGAGTTAGGGTACCTGTGAGCAAATTATTGTTAAAAAAATGCTAGTGTAATCTCTAGGTGAAGTTAGTAGCCTACAAATTTTCTCGATGTTCATCAATAAGGTACTTTTCAAATTTCGGTCAGTTTCTGTCGTTGGCCAATAA